CACCCTGGCAGATCCAACTTTCCAACAAGATAATGCCCGACCACATGTTGCAAGAGTCACAATAGACTTCTTTCAACATAATGATGTCACATTGTTACCATGGCCACCAAGATCTCCCGACTTATCTCCAATTGAGCACGTGTGGGATATGATGGGTAGGAGATTGCTCAATTTGCAACGTCCTCCTCAGACTCTAGAAGCACTTCGAGAGGAGTTGGTGGTTGCCTGGAATGAGATACCACAGGAGGACATTGACCACCTGATCAGAAGCATGCCTAGGCGCGTTGGAGAATGCGTAGCACATCAGGGTGCATCCACACATTATTAAAGGTCAAAGGGCTTTAAAGCAGTGCAATCATTTTGAAATTTTTATCATTTACTTATTATGCTTCATTAAGTACTTATACAAAATTTTATTAAAATAAAACCATTTAAACTGGGTGTTCGGATTTATATATCACTTAGTATATATTAGAATAAGATATAACTAACCTATATAAGAATATTTGGTTTCCTATCAACCATATCTTCAAGGTCACTCATTTAACTTTCTTTTATAAAGATAGGTGTTATGTGTCAATCATTTTCCTGTTGAGGCTTTTGGTCGTGCGAGCGTGGTTTGTTTGATTTCTAGATTCCGCAATATTAGGCCCCAATCACCTGTTTGTGGAGTAGCACCTCTTCTTATGTATCTACCTTAGGTTTAGTTGTTTTGGTTGTTGTTTGGGTGCTACTCTCTCCATTTTTGTGGGAGTTTAACCTTTTCAGCTGTAAGTCCTTTCTTTATACCATCAAATAAACAGGTACTTATTAACTTTTTTATAGATACGAGTACTTATACAGTGATTTTCTTTAATGCCCCCTACCCTTTGATTTTTTGGATTCAAAAAATTAAAACTTGAGGTAATGAAATTGATGCGCGGATACCATATTTTAGAGTAAAATTGACAGATGAAACTGTTAAGATGGCCGCTAGGCGCCATCTTGGAGAAAAAACTGTATGAAAACAGGGGTCAGGTGGCGCACCATTTTGAAGCTCCTGTTGAGTACTATATAACCCTGGTATAAAGTCAATACCTTTACTTACTACAAAATTGTGGTACATTTAATAATTACCTGAATACATTGACATTATTTTCCAGCATATCCAAATACAGTTCCCCGGTTAAAGCTTGTTCGATGAATAGAGGTCCCACAATATGATTTCCCAATATCCCAGCCCAAACGTTAATTTTTGGTGGAGATTGAGTATGAGCTTCCCGGAAGACGTGAGGATTGGTGTCACTCCAATAACGACAATTTTGTCTATCCACATTACCGTTGAGAAAAAATGTACATTCATCACTAAGACAAATATTTTCATATAGCTAGGATGCCGTGCAATGGTTTCCGTCATCGTCTCGCAGAATTCTGATCTTCGATCAGGGTAATCTTCAGTTAGCTGATGTACCATTTGAATTTTGTACGGGTGATACTTATTCTTTTTCAAAAGTCTCCATACAGTACAAGGACAAACCTCATATACATTCGCGATGAAGGAAGTAGACTGTTGGGGATTTACTATGATCTCACCAATTATTTGAGTTGCTTTTCTTCCGGAATGGTCGGATGACCTCGGGACTTTTTGTTGTTTACACTACCAGTAGCTGTAAATTTAGATACAAGTTTCCTTAAATATTTTCTACAGACAGGACGATTCGTTAAACGATCATAAAAAATCCTTTCGGTCTCGCGTCGCACCATAAATAAAAATCGCTTCGATCTTTTCTTCAAATGGGCGAGAATTGACCATTTTCAAAATAGTTCAAACAGTAAAACCGAAAACTAAATAAGAGTATTTCAACTGTACAATGACGTTTGTTTTCGTACTGATATTCTTGTCACTGTCAACGAAAAGTAACAAAACAAGTTTTTATCGCTGATAAAGAATTTGTTGTGATCAACGCAGTCGAATGCCCTACTGAGATCACAAAATACCCCAGTAGGGCACTCGCCCGCGTCGATGTATTCTATAAGCTTCTCATAAAAGGAATGTATGGCTGACATTGTGGTCTTACCATCTGTGAAACCATGCTGGTTTTGAGACAAAATATTGTTGTTCTTAAGATGTAGAGGAAGTCCATCCAAATAGGCATATTCAAACACTTTAGAAAGTACAGACGGCACAGTGATTGCCCTGTAGTTTTTAATATCAAGCTCGTTCCCCTTTTTTAGAATTGGTATAACTTTGCCTAGTTTCAGCCTACTTGGGAACTCTCCGCAGCAAAATGAGATATTTATAAGGTGTGCTATTGGTTTTATTATAAGATGTAGTACTTCTTTTACCAGAAAATTGGGAATGTCATCAAAACCGCAAGATCTGGATTTTTTTAATTTTTCAAAAGTAAGTTACTGAGCTCATTATCTGTATAAGGGTAAAGTTTGAAATAATTTTTGACATTAAATTTGAAATCAGCTGCACTATCTGAAGTATTATTTTTTGTATTATATCATCTGGAGCATTTTTAAAAAAATCATTGAACATATTTGCCAACAGCTGAGCTCATTTTGATCTTTAAGTAGAACTATATTTTTTCGAACTTTGTTCTCATTTTTAGTTGCATTGACCACTTGCCAGCACGCTTTGGTGGTATTTTTAGACAATACAATTTTGTTTTGGTAGAATGATCTTTTTGTGTCTCTGATCAATTTTTTATGTGTCTTTTTAGCATCATTATACAGTGACTTTAGTCTTGGATTTATTTGTGAAGTATGATATAAATCTTTCAAATTATTGCTTGAATTTCTTACGTTATGTGTAACCCAACTTTTTGAGCCGTTTCCCGTACAGGCTTTATGTAAAGGGAAATGATTATTAAAATAGTACAAAAAGATATTAAAAAAATTTCCAACCGACTCAGAAACTGTAAAGCTAGAGTAAACTGACAGCCAAGATTCGTTTAATGAAGATTGTTTACAGTCGCTAATTGCGTTTTGATGGAAACTTCTTTTGTTCAGGTAAATTTTGTCCGATTTCTTGGAGCAAATATCGACGTCCCCCAGAGTCGTTCTGTGATCTCAAACTGTATTATCATAGAGACAGGAAACGAACTGAGTAATATTGGTAAAAACGTGGTCAATGCTTGTGGCCGAACTATCTGTCACTCGGGTTGGCCAACCGCCTTTATGATACAAACCAAACATAGAGAAAATATTACACAATTTCATACGAGGCAAGCAGCTCCTACCTTGTGAAGTTCCTTGCGTCTCGGTCCACTACTGGCCACAGCTGAGATCATCCCGGCTGCGCCTGGAGACTCGACTGGGAGAAGACCGCCATCAAGTTAAGTTTACAAAACGCACAAAAGCAGAGAATAGGAACGACTTTTTATTTCGTGGTCATTGGTCCCCCTCTACTGTTGTACTGACTTTTAAAAACGAAATATATCCTTAGGCTTATCTCACCGCATACTTATGTTTTAACGTCAAAATTTGTGCAGCCGTTATTTGAGGTGACATATAGATCAAAAGTCAGACGAAGTGGCGTACAGTCCGAAATACAGATCGACGGAAATGAATGACATGATGGTTTTTTTCTTCTGGATAATATGCGCACGCTTATAGCATAGAGTATGTATGATATCCTATATACAAAATAGGTCTTAGAGTACGGTTGAGTGCATTATGAAGGTGTCGAAGATTGCTCCTCTACCTGTTCAGTGAACATGCAAAATCATCAAGAGGGCATAGACGAACTTTAAAAATGAATTACAGTTTTCTGCTCACGCTTCAGCATCGTATAGCGCTCGGGTTGAGAGCTACTCGAGAAAAACGCTATTGTTGAGGCAGCAGCATTCGAAAGCAGTGTAGCGAAAGTGCAACACGCGATGTGAAATATTACTGCAGCTACCTCACGTAATGGCGTTGTGGTGCTCGTAGAGAGCTATCGACGCGGCGTTCTCTTATAGTGGGCCAATTCGCATTTTATACCAATCTGAAAAAGGAGACTAATATTCCATTCATGTTTTCCACGTTCGAATGTATTGTAATGCGGCATAGGATATTTTATTTTATACCAGAGCAGCTGAGCAGGCAGAAGTCAGGGGCCAGGGCACCGCGGTTGCTATAAGGAGCTCAAAGAAACTTTGATAATTCGATTTTTGAACTGCCTAGTGACAGTAGAACTGGAAGTAGCCTCCTCATGTAAACTGTTGTCCGAGAACAAAGGAGCGGTCGTATTGGCCAGGTCTGTCTGGTAAGCACATCGCATGGCGGCATCGTGGAGGAGATTTTTGAGGAGCAAAACCCGTTGGCGCAGCGGTTTATTTTCTTAAAATTTAGGCGTGCCCTATGACGTAACTGTAATCACAGAAGGCTCTGACCTATTAAGTTCAATATACTTGTAGTTGACGTTTGGAAAAACAACTGAATTTTTTTAGAAGTTTGACACTAATGGGTGCCGATAAAAAAGTGCAAGCCTTTCCATGTTTTAAAAACAAGTTTAAGATGTGCGTTTGAGACCCCTCAACACATAAAAAAAAAACTAGCTGCAAATATTTGCAACTTTTGTAGACGAATTTTTAGACTTTAGTGCGCGACAGAAACCAACCAAAATGAAAAATATAGACGGGTGGTTATCTGAAATTTGGTTAACTTCTGATGTAATTTTGAAGGTGGTGTTTTTAGTTAAAAATCAGAACAGCTTATATTCTATGCTGTAGGTATAACATCTACTTTGCTGCATCTAAAAGGGCCAGTCACTTTACTTGATATTTTCAGAGAAATTTATGATTTTTTAAAATCAGTGTTCTAGGGACTGACGACAAGTGATAGGGACTGACACCAAACACGGTTATTATGTCAAATCACATTTTTTATTGCAAAATCAACCGTAACAACAAAATAATCTCTTAAGTTCACAAATTCTATGATTTATAATCACAGTACAGGATTTATTTTTTTAATTATACACTTAAAAATAATCTATCAATATTTCTCAACAATCAAATTATACTTTGAGCTTAATACTTACAAACTAATAGTCCTTTAAAAATTAACAATTATTTTAAATAATCAGCTTTCTAAAGTTTTGAGTTACCAAATTATAATTTGAACACAACATTCAGACTTTCATTAATTATTATGAGATCACAAATATTTCGCACTTAAACTATCTAGTACCTCTTATTTATTTGTTTTACTATTTGTTTTACTTCTCGTAAACATTAATAGGTTTTCTAAATTTGTGAAGGACTGTATTTCTCTTGACGATTATATTAGGAACTGGCAGTTTTTCTATAACGTCTTCGTAAGGTACGTCGGCGATATCATTATCATTTATTTTAAATTCTGTGCCATCTTTATTGCAAACTTTAAGAAATGTAACTGTCAGTTCTCCATCTTCGTCATCATATTTTGAGCAAACTGAGGCGTATCGGTATTCTTTTTCCCTCATTATTAACTTAACTAGAACATAATCGCTACCACCGTAGCTCGTTTTTGACTTTTCTTGTGCAATGTGGCTCATACTTGCTAACGGAATATCACCTTCAGAATCTGTGAAAATATCTGAAACTTGAAGCCGCTGTGTATTGGTTTGGTACGTAATAGTCCCCAACCTATAATGATCACAACCGTCATTATCACAGAAGCAACTTAGTGACTTCAAGAAAAGTTTATTAGGTTTATAAATATGACCCGAGACTTGATGCACCAAGAGAGTTCCTTTAAACGGTTTCTGCTCTTTCTCATGTTCCTTGATCATTTTGTTAAATTTTTCTATGTCGACATCTTCGATAACAGAGATATTTATATTTGGACACCTTTCTCGAAGCACAGCTACAAAGTCGTACAAGTTCGTAATGTCATCTCTCTGAGCTATGAGTTGGTCTGCAGAGCGTTTGCATGTAGCTCCAATTCCATCAGGTGCCCCTTTCCCATGTCCCGCCTCATGGAAATTCCACGTATATTTTATAGCCAGTGAATAGAAATCTTGGATTCTGCAACCCAAAATATAAAACATTGTTTTATTTCTATATTGGGTTACAGGACCGTCACTCAAAAAATGCAGGTTTTCTACAGAGGATGGCAATCCTAAGAGGATAGGCTGTAAATGTGCCCAAATGGCTCCAGCGTTGTGACATAAATTTAAAGACACAGTGCAATGGGATGTTACTTTATCTTTTGTGTAAACCACCACTGTATGCAAAGAAATTTGATACCTGGAGCCGCCAAAATGATACGACTGAATTTCTTAGTTGCATTTAGTTGTGTAGTTTTCTGAGAAGTCCATGTGAATTACTGCATCCTTTTCTGACTCTTTCAAAGATTTAATAGTTTTATATTGATGAACGATGTTCTGTTCATGTTGGAATAATTTTGGAAGATCACTCTCTTCTAATTACATAATTAAATCACGAGGATTTGAATTGCATATCTCTTTCTTATACTTTGTGACGTATCTATCCTGTTTAGTTTTAATGTCTTTAATCAATTCCTTGCTATGCTTCCATTGTTTGACTGCCATGTCCTTACTATTATCAAACTCCTTATATGGTAAAATCTTCAATGAGCAGTCCTGGCAAGTTCTTGCTAAGCATATTTCCGAGTAGCGATCACAGCAAATTGTTTCCAGTGCAGTTTGATATGTGGCAAAGTGAAGAACGTTTGCATTTTTTAAGGCACCTAACTTCAAATTGATGTGTTCATGAATAACACAAGCACAGGTATCACCGTCTGTAAGCTTAGGCACAACAACCCAAAATGGACGCAATTTGCAAAAATAATTATACCCAATTTTCATCAAACTCGTATTGTGAAATTTTTAATGCAAGTTCCTCAAGGAATCCAGCAAATATCTTTTTTGTTTTTTAATTTTTTTGCGAGTGATGCACTCTTTTTTTCCTGCCGCACAACGACTATTATTGTCATCTTCATAAAACTTGTGTATGATTTCTTCAACTCTCTTTTTTTTCGCATAGCTTCATATTTTGTACGATTAAATCCCATCTTTTCATATGTAATGGCTGTGTTTCCAAGTCTCCATATTTTATATTTATGTGTCAGTGGACTTGACAAAATTGTTTTTAAGCAGGTTTTTGTTTTGGGTGTCTGAATCTCTTTATCTAAAATTTGCCTTTGAATAATATCGCCAAATAACGCTTTTTTATCAATTCTGCTTTTTGATTAGGGTCGCTGGCCATTTCTACAATTTTACTTTCTGGTGTCAGTGCTTGCTTCTTTTGTATCATTCTATGTTTCAGTCTTCTGTTTCTTTGTTGTTCGCTGGCAAGTTTCTTCTTTAAATTTTCAATGAGTAAGTCCTTCCTCTTCAACATACTATTTCTTTTTCTCCGTTGAACTATTCTCCTCCTTCTAGCTTCAGCTTCTCTTTCATTATTTAATAAAGGAGCCTCAGGAATAATTTCATCTTCCGATGATGGCGGCGTATTTTGGTCCACGTATTTATCTGTATTGTCACGAATCTTTTCTATAATCAGATGAATAGGCTACCCAATTTTTACACACTTCCGTTGTCCTTTTTCCTTTTTCTTTAGATATTTTAGTCGTTCCTTTTCTTTGTACTCCGCCAGCAAAACAGGATCATTTTTAATTTTTTCCAATCGCCTCTTTGCCTGTTCAGACTTTTTTTTGCAATTTCCTCTTTAGACAATGTTTTTTTCTTTATAGGCGCCATATTCTACAAGAAATACATTGGTATTATGATTAAAACTATGCATCACACAGTATGATCATCAGTCCCTAGATGTGGTATCAGGCCTTAGTCACTATTACGACTAGGGCCTGACGGTCTAGGGACTGACGAAACGAAGCAAAATCATATGAAAGCTATTATTTTAAATCACTATAAAATCAATAGGCGGTCAAAATAACAAAGCAGACCTAGCTCATACATTCAATAAGTAATGAGATCAATGAGTAATTATATATGTTGAAAACGACTTACCTAGGGCCTGAGAGTTTGACTGGCACAGCACGTGTTTCCGCAGCAAAGTCGGTTACCACACTAATAGCAAAATTGGTGCCGCGGCTTGGTTCGTGTTTGTAACCAGCTACACACCGATGCTACCGTATTGAGTGAGTTATGAATAAGTCATATGTTTGGATGCCGCGTATTTTTGAATTTCGTAAATGACTAGGGCCTGATATTTTTTATCGCTTACACTATTTGACTTGAAATAATGTGATCAAACAAAATTATTTTATACATTAAATCGTAATGACAATGTAAGCAATGTAATAGTAAACAAATTTAAATAGAGTTTCATCAAATTATTATTTAATACAATAAGATTACAGTGACGTGAATACTAAATTTGGGAGATCTTACATGGCTAGGGCCTGATATTTGGAGTAAAAAATGTCAATTTATTGAAATAAAGAATATTATGATATTTATCAAAATTGGTGACCGAACTAAATAGACCATAAAATATCGCTTAGTAGTTTCAGATATAGGATATATATTTTTTAATATTGTGAAAATTCATGCTAACACCAAGTTAACCAAATTTCAGATAACCACCCAGACTTATATAACGAGTGGTATTTGAACAGAACCAAAAACAGAGTTCAACTGTTAAAAACGCTTGAGTTATATTTTTTACCCCACATAAACATTATTGTAGAATCATTAGACAAACATATACTAAGTGACATATAAATCCGAACACCCAGTTTAAATGGTTTTATTTTAATAAAATTTTGTATAAGTACTTAATGAAGCATAATAAGTAAATGATAAAAATTTCAAAATGATTGCACTGCTTTAAAGCCCTTTGACCTTTAATAATGTGTGGATGCACCCTGATGTGCTACGCATTCTCCAACGCGCCTAGGCATGCTTCTGATCAGTTGGTCAATGTCCTCCTGTGGTATCTCATTCCAGGCAACCAGCAACTCCTCTCGAAGTGCTTCTAGAGTCTGAGAAGGACGTTGCAAATTGAGTAATCTCCTGCCCATCATATCCCACACGTGCTCAATCGGGGATAAGTCGGGAGATCTTGGTGGCCATGGTAACAATGTGACATCATTATGTTGAAAGAAGTCTATTGTGACTCTTGCAACATGTGGTCGGGCATTATCTTGTTGGAAAGTTGGATCTGCCAGGGTGTCAAGATAGGGTAAAAGATGGGGTTCTAGAACTTCGTGGATATAACGCTGCGCGTTCATGTTACCTCTGACGAAGATTAAGGGTGACCTGGAACCATAAGCTATAGCACCCCAAACCGTAACTCCAACAGTGTGATGAACATGTCTTTCAACAAAAAACTGTGGATTCCTCCTTTCACCACGTCGCCTTCTAACCCTGGCACGAACATCGTGCATACCTAAACAAAATCGAGACTCGTCACTAAAGACAATACTGTTCCATTCCTGATCCCAGAGTGACCGTTGTCTGCAAAACTCAAGGCGATTACGTCGGTGTTCTCGAGTTAAAGGGAGGACCCAGTGTGGCCGGTATGAAAACAAGCCAAAACTTCTCATTCGTCGGTAAACACTTCGCATGCCAATAGGTCTTCCGTGTTCTGCAAACCATTCATTTGCAATGGACCTGGTAGTGGAGAAACGGTCCCTTAAGGCCAATAATCTTAGGTGGCGATCTTCACGGTCTGTTGTTCTACGGCGGCGTCCAATGCCCCTTGCTCTTTGCGTACGGCCTTCTCGAAGCCATGCCTGACAACACCTAACCACAGTGTCTACACTTCTTTGCACTCTAACTGCAATTGCCCGAAAAGAAAGTCCAGCTTCCCGAAGTCCCACTATACGGCCCCTATCAAACTCACTAAGTTGACGAAATCGTACAGATCTCCGTAATCTAGGCATCGTAACCGATCGTAAAGGATGTCAAGAACCAAAATCCGCCAACGTTGATTCTTTACTGCGGCTGAAATATTCATTTTTAGAGCGTTAGTGAATTAAAAAAAAGCAGTATAAAAACCGGAATGTCCAACTGATAAGGCTGAACATTTTTTCACTTGTTATTTACAGTAAGATAAATACATTCACCAACTTTTATTAAAATAAAACCATTAAAACTGGGTGTTCGGATTTATAAGTCACTTAGTATATGACGAATTTATAAGCAATGTGGAAATTAGATAGAAACCTTGTCATAGAGATAAGAAGCTTTTTATAAAGAAAAATAAGGCTTGGTTGAACCAAACATTTTCGCCTTCCAAGAAACCCGTTGTTACTTCAAAGGTCTTAAATGCTTAAAAAAATATAACTTCCTCGTCATACGTTTTTTTTACTAAATTCAATTCACATCCTTATTATAGGGTAAAGGAAATAAAAGTGTTCGTTTTGATGGGATCTATCACATACTCAGTTTTTGTAAAGTTCTGGGCATTTTCAGGGGTCCCCACAACCTGCATTGATGCAGAAAGTTGCGAATTTTTTGAAACTAATACCTTATTTTAACAGAAAAGCTTTTTTTGCTTAAAAATATCGAGGAAATTGTTTTTTTTTAACAAAAAAGTAAAAGTCCACACTGAGAAGTTATGGCCAGTTAAAACGATCCGTGAGTGCAGGGTGAAGCTCTCTCTAGCGGCCACCATAAAAAATATCCGTATTCGGGTTTCGCATCCCAAAAAACCCCCGGAAAGTAATACGTTAAGAAATTTTCATGTATTAAAAAAATGGATTTTTATTTTTTAACTTTACCATCCTGTATCGGAGCACTTTTGGACTAAGGTAAGCTACTTCAAATTGGCTTATTTTGAACTCAGGAATATGTGCTAATGTAAAGACCGCCTAGGTACTTTGGAAACGTGGTGTTCTTAAATGACGTAGCAGCATCCATTATTATTCGTTTGGCAGATCCAAACAGCGCTAGAACGTTCTGCAGCTCTTGACGCGCTTCTGCAGTTGTCACAGACTTCATAGGCGTCAAAATGCAGTACTTGGTAAAAGCATCCACCATTACCGAAACGTGCTTATAACCATCAGTTGAAGCTGGTAAAAGACCCAAACAGTCCATGTGCAACGTATGAAATGGCTCCTTCGGTATTTCCACTGGTTGTATGAACCCCTGTAGAGGACCTGTTCTTGTCTTTTTTACTGCACAAATTACACAGTGCTTGACGTAGCATTTGATGAGGTTTCTCATCCTCGGAAACCAAAAATGTTGAGCGACAGACTCGTATGTCTTTTCGGGTCCAACATGACGCTGCTCATCATGGAAAATGCGCAGTAGGCCTAAACGACTTTGCCTAGAAACGAACCATTGCAAATTTGTCGTACCATCTGCATTTACTTGCTTGTGATAAAGCATTTCATCCTTTTCGGCATACTGGTTTGCATCAAGGTTGCCTTCTCTAAGTTGTCGTAGCATGTTCTGAACTTCTTCCTTTTCGGTAGACTATTTCGAAATTAAAGTCTTGAAGGTACACCCACCAGCGAGCTATTCGGGGTACCAGGTCTTTCTTAGAGGATGTTGCCTTGATGGAATTGTAGGCAGTAACGATGGTGAATTTTATCGGAAACAAATAAGTCCGGAAATGT